ATATTTTTATTTTTAATTTAACAATGCTTAGAAATAAAAAGAAAGGTAACAAATGTAAGATTGCAGCTAATGTTAATATTCTCAATGAATACGAGAAATTTTCAGAGAGTTGAAAACACAAAAAAGTTATGCATAATATAATTAAGAAACCACTGCCACACAATTTCCCCCCTTCCACATTAAATTAGAAATAAAAAACCTGCCAATTGAAACTGAATGAATTTTTAGCTGCCAAAAAAGAATTGTACAAAACTGTTTGTTAAAAAAGCACTGTCCAGAATGGCTTTGTTTTCAGCAATGAATAATGAGCTCTAGCTGCCAATAAAATAAACAGCCAACAGATGTGGTAAAAATGTGGAGAGTTCACGAATTATTTGACCCATATGGTCTTCAAAGAAAAAATAACAATAAGTGGTCAGTTTCATATTTCACTATATTTTATGGAACTGCCTAAAATGCTGAGATCCCAGAAATACTAGAACTCCAAGTGGGATGCAAGTGAGAGCAAGAAAATGCAATATATTGAAAGAGGTGCAATAAGTTATTTTATCACTAAAACAAAAAAAAACTCAATAATGACATTTCAATATTCTTAAAGGAAAGATACAATGAACAAGAGAAACACTGATATATAAAAAATTGACACCCTCCAACCCCCCCCCCCCAAAAAAAAAAAAATCAAAAAACATTTGACACAAATATAAAAGTCATTGGGTCACTGCTGCCTTTGGTCAGTCTGGGAGTCTACAGCCTGTAGAACAGCGCTGGGCTGGTCGCTGGCCATGCAATCTGGAGAGTTGACCCACAGTCTAATGACTGGTCATAAAGTTTCTGGCCCTGCACTTCGTGACAGGCATTGAAATTTGTGTGGTGAGAGAAAGCTGTATAGTAACTATGCTGCTTATCAGTCTTGCTGCCTAGTTGTAAGAGATGACGAGATTAAAAGCCAGTTCAAAGGTGTAATGAAATTATTTTTCTTTATCAGCAAATGGAGTGTGTGGTATCTGCTGAACTTAAATCATGACCAGGGCTTTAAATCGCTCAACTATACACTGCTGTTGATGCTATAATGGCAGTTTAACAAGCGTTGAATACAAGAAGAAAGGTCATCTTGTTGCTATCAAAGGGCGGCTCCTTTAATGCTGCTACCTTACACTGTTATCTCTGTTTTGAAGACAAAGTTGGTGACCCTGGAGATCCGTTGACAATAAACTATCAAATACCTATTTGTCTTTTTTTTTTCATGCAAGCCACATGGTGGTCTTGTTCCAAATACAATTCTATCAAATCTATATATATTTTTTTTTTAAAAGCAAAGTGTCAGTTTTAAGGACCATTTCTTGTATCTTTTTAAGCAAAAATCCTGCCTATGTAGTCTAGGCATTCACCTTTACATTTATTCATCATTATGTATTTTAATAATAAAATTCACACAATGACAACTTATAATACCACAGATAGACAAAAAGACAACCATCAACCATCTTTTCAACTTGAAAAATTTACCTTAGAAAGCTCTCTTGACATTAAAGTGTGATCAATGTATGGCAGATCTAGCCAATAAAATATAACATTAATTTAATTTATATAATTTCAGAAATCTGCCACATATGCAGTATGAAGTAAAAAATTCTGCATCCTTTTTTATTCGGTTGATAGCCAAAACGTAGTTACTGTAGTCCATTTTTGACAAAAAAAAAAAAAAAAACTGCAACATTTTAATCATATTCAGTTGAAAACATAGGTGATACATGACAGGCGTTCCAAAAATACACCCAAAGCTACACGAACCTACATCTTAAATGCTATACCTTTATATATAAACCTACATATTATATGCTATACCTTTATATATATATATACTGTCTATTATATCATACCATTAATGATCGTGCTACAATTTACCAGCACCATTAGCCTCTTTCAGATCAATGTTACAGAATGCAATAATCAACATTTTTTTTAATGCAAAAAATTGTAAAAGGTTTTCCAATTTAATGCATGAACTAATCATTCAAAGGTTACATCAAACAATCCTGTGTGTTTGAGCAGGATTGAAAAGATTAACAGACATGCTAGTATCATTTTCAAAATAATGCAACTTCTGTCTACCCATAAGTTGAACTGAATGATAAGACTTCCTATAAAATAACAGAACCATGGAAACTGCAGGCCAATTTGGAAATGTCAACGAATTTGATCCTTTTTAATCATGCTCTTGTCATTAGCTAACTCCCATGGAAAAGGAAACATCCTTGTTTTTCATCATGATGTATGAAAAAAACAGAGAAATATGAACCTACCATTGTACGTTTGGCACAATCACATTTTCTATTATTGTCATTGTAACATAGTTTGTTGATACAGTGGCAATCAAGGATTTGCTTGGTAGAAAACTTGGATACAATGCAATATAAATTTCCTATTCAAAATGAAATCAGATTTTATTCAGGTTGCCAATTTCAAATACATACAACCTTTTATCAGGACACACTTAGCTATGTAGTCTTTAAAA